GTCCCGAGCCAATGGGGGCGGCGAGAAGCCGCGGCCAGCACATTGCTCACCCGCGCCGCTTCTCGCCGCCCCCATTGGCCCGGGACGGCGAACCGCGGCGAGTGGGGGCCGCGATCAGCCGAACCTGCCGCGTCAGCAGGTAACTAAAACTGGCCAGGCCCGTCAGGGTGCTTACCCTGGCGAGCCGCGTGCCTAACGTTGCCAACCCCTGCTCTAGCCCTTGAAAAACAATGGGACAAATATTGAGAGGGGCAGGGAGGGAGTCACAAAACTTCCAGAGAAAACAGAACAGTGAGCAATGAGCAGCACTGCAAGTTTAGAAAGAGTTCTTGCCAGACATCTTTAATAGAATTATAAAATAAGCAGATGAAAGGAATTAAGTAGATTAAAAAACTTAAAGTAGTCTCAGACCAATCTCACGTGGATTAAAAACTGAAGATCTCTAGGAAAAAAAGGCAATGATAAACATGTTGTGTTATGGTGCGGGCAGAGGGGTAAGGGATGTCTACCACAGAGATTGGCATTAGAGCTGGTCTGATTTAACTTCATTACCAACCTGGAAATGGGAGTAAACAACATATTAGTTAGAGATAGCAGATGATACTAAATTGGGGGAATTCTGCACCACTGCACAAGCACAGAATTAATGTCCCCAGCAGATTTTTTTTTCTCCCGCAAAATAATTGATTCTGACAGGAAGGCAAAGGGAAGTCATGTGAGGGGTCACGCTACAATTACATCTTTTGCCCACCAGAAGAGAGGGCAACTGGCTCATGAGCTGGAACAGCCAATCGTAGAGAGGGAGGGGGCAGATGCTGTCTTCCTTACAGCACCCTGCCTGCAGGGCCAGGTAAGGAGGCATGGAATGGGGGGATGAGAGGGGCAGAGAGTGGGGCACATGGGGCTGCTGGAGGGGTCACGCAGACTGGGGTTCATAATAGCTAGTGAGGGGAGACAGATTGGACGCAGGGGCACAGGAGCCAGTGGGGTGACAACACTGAGCCAGGGACTGAATGGGAATGGGGGTCCAGGGCCACAGGGGAATAAGGGCAGCTATGCCTGGGTGAATGGGAAGGGGGGGTGCAGGGACACATGGAGATGGGGCAGCTATGCATAGCTGATTGAGGATGCAGGGCCACATGGGGAAAGAGGAGAGAGGGGGTGCAGGGACACACGGGCATATTTGCAGATATGCCTGGCTGAATGGGGTGTGGGGGTGCAGGGACACACAAGGACAGGTTCGGATGTGCCTGACTGAATGGGAGAGGCTAGGGGTCAGCCAGGGTCTGCATGGGGAAGGCTCCCCAACTCCCAGACAATTGCCCCCCTCCAAAAGAAACACCTTGTTCCATACTTGCCCAACCCACACCCAACAACCCTCCAGATTCTGTCCCAGGCTCCTTCCCAGCAATTACTTCCCTCTCCCTCCGCTCCTTCGTTACCCCCAACTTCCCAAAGCTTTTGCACTGCTTTGGAGGGGTGCGGGAAATACATTTCTGTATTGTACTTTAAATGAATTATTACTCCAAGTTCTGTATTAATATGTCTAGTAAGGAATCTATTTGTCAAAAACCATTTCCTGAACCTTTTTTGTTGTCTGTATTGTTACAGACATACTTGCTGACAGGTATTTTGAAATAAACTACCAAAATAATTGAAACTGGTTATATTGTTATTTTGACAAATAAAATAGGCAGAATTATACAGAATTTTAAAATATTGTGTGCAGAATTCTTAATTTTTTGGTGCACAATTCTTCCAGGAATAATTGGGTGTTGCAAATACCATCCAGGACAGAAAGATAGTAAGAGCTTTGAGCGATTAGAATTGTAAGCGGAAAAAGTGAGATTCAGCTTGGAAAAATGTCAGCTATTACATCTGAAAAATACTCAAACACACATACCTAATAGGAGAGAAGCATCTAGAAAACAGTAATAGCTTAGAGATCCAACTATGCAATACAATATGGCAAGAAAAAAAGGTCAGTTTGGGGTGGCACATGCAGAGTCTGTAGACCACAGAGTAGGGAAGTTAACAGTCCTTTCTTTATATTACTCTGGCATGACTGCCTCTGAAGCACTGTTTAGTTCTGGGCACCCTTCAACAGAAAGAAACTGGTGAGAGTGGGGAAAAGGAACAAAATGATCAGCAGGCTGGAGGGGTTGAAATAAGAAGCTAAATTAAAGAACTAATTGTATAGTTTGTGTAAGACATCTGATGGGGAATGACTGGATGACTCTCTACAGGTAACTGAAAGGTATATATACCAAAGATGAGAAAAGGTTACAATATGTAGGGTAGCAGTAGGATATAATTAGGAATAACTGGAAGAAATTAAGAAAAATGTAGAATGAGTTTTATGGAGCAAATCCCAATCATGAGTTCCATTAAGCTGTGGAACAGTGTCCCAACGGAAGTAGAAATACTGTCACTTGGGACATTTACAATTCTAATCAGATTGTACGCTTATCAGGACAGAGACTATTTTGTAGCCTGTATTTGTACAATGCAAGGCATAATAGGTCCCTGATCCTGATTACTAAAATACAAACAACAACAGACTTGGCAAAGCACCAATAAGTGTAGTATAGAAAACAATCCTGCATTTGCAAGAAGATGAAATTGTATAACCACATTGGTCTTCTCTCTCTCTAATTTCTATTAAGTTTTGACATTGTGAGGGAGAATCTTACCAAATACCATCAAAGATACCACCAAGGCCCCTCACAACAGGATCCAAATTATATACTGGGAGAACAGAACATTTCTACCCAACACTCAAAGACCCAAATCAGCACTTAGACCAGAAATGTAGCTTATAGTATTTTTCTGCATGGGAATAACCTCAACAAAGCAATAAGCTGTCCAAAGAGGAAAGACCCTACCTGTGACGGGTCTGTCACCCGCAGTGTGACCACATCTTCACTGGTGTATTTAATAAACAGATGGCTCTCATCCAACAGCTGCATTTTCCACATGCGCAGCTGCCTCAACTGATCAAAGTACTGGAAGAACCTCCTCTTTGCCATCGCACTTCCATCCTGCTCTGCCCTCCTCCACAGGTACACCAACAGTCTGTGTTTCAGAGAATTTATGAAGGGCTCTTTGTACGGGTTTGCCATCCCTGTCTGAGTGTCTCGCTGCACTTCTGGATAGACAGCGGAGAGGGTCAGGAGATCATCCTCATAGCAGAAGCGACCTATAGTCCGTACATCAATGAATGTGCCCTCAGGTGTCACTTGAAAGACATGAATAGTCTGCTGCTGCACGGAGAGAATAGCCAAGATATTCTTATACAGGTATAGGCCCTGGTTGTGAGACAAGATGACTTTGTCACATTTGAATGTCCTTGTGTCACACAGTCTACCTGTGTGAAGATCTATGATATGCAGAGAATAGTCCTCCAAAGGGGACCTGGGATTAGGGGTCACTGACTCACTGTTGCGATAAACCTCAAAAAATGGGGGGTGAGGTTCCTCGGGCAGGTAGGCAGCAGAGCCAACAATTACATAGCGACAGTCATCTGTGAACAAACTGCACTCGCGATTCAAGTGCTCACCATTGGAGGCCACGTTGGTGATATGAAGCAAGACGAAGAAACGTTCAAAGAGCCGCCCACGGATGTTGACAGATCTTTGGTCATTGCCATTGGCCAAGATCTCTCCCTCATAACCCTGCAGGAGATCCTCTGCTGCCTGGCAGCCCTGATACTCGTAGATCTCCAGGGAGGTCTGGTCCGAGGAGAAAGCAATGAAGTAGCGCCCGTCGGGGGAGAACTTGCGCAGGAAGCAGGGCGGCTTCTCAACGTTGACCACAGTAAAGTTGGGGAAGACATTCTGGTGGAAGACCCGGACCTGGTGCCAGTGGGTGCCGGCCTTACCAGAGCTGATCCTTCGGCGCTCCAGGCGGTGGATGACATTCTGGTTCTGGATTCTGCGGGGCCTGATGGTCGGAGCGTCATGATCCATCACTTCATCGTTCCCTGGGAAGGAAACACAGAGGCCGCTGTAGTGGACAGGGAGCAGCACGACCCTAAACCAGACCGTGTGTGGGGGGGGAGAGATGGGAGAGGGTCTCCTGGGGGAGCAGGGGCACCGCAAGGGTAACACAGCTGGGACCCTAGAGGCGGGTGTTCTGGAGATGCCTGCTGAGAAGAGGGGGCGCGGGAGGCTCCCCCGGAGGCGGCCCCAGTGTCAGGGCCCGGGGGTGGGAAGCTCACGGAGTTAGGGGGGCCTGGGCGCCCCGGCAGACGGAGGTTGCGGTTTCCAGACGCCAGGGCGCTGCAGGGCCGCGGTCCCCCGGGAGGGGCGCGAGGCGGCGGGAGCCGAGGCGCTGGTGGGCGTCGCGCGTCTCCTCACCTCTCCGGGCCGCAGCGGGATCCCGACGCCTCCGCCGTCCGGTCACTCTATGGCCGCCGCCATCTTTCCGCCAAGGCGCCGCTGCTAACGACTCAGCCTCAGCCTTGGTGACGAGAGCAAGAGGGTACCGCGCCAGCCCGGAAGTGCTTCCGGAGGCCGCGGGGCGTGGCGTCAGGTGGGCGCCGAGTGTCAGGGGCAGCCGGCAGACAGTGGCCCCTGGCGGCCGGAGGAGTCACCGCGGGGCTGGGGGAACCAAGGGACCTTCAGAGTCGCCAGGGACCATGGCACCCACGGCAGCCGGGCATCATGGGAGATGCGCCCCACATTCCCAGCAGTGCAGGGCACCCCCTGGCCTCCCCTCACCCCAGTAGGGAGCTGTACTCACCGCACCCCTCCCTGCCCCCAAGAGCCAGCTGTGCCCCTCAGGCATGCCAGGCACCTCCCTGCCCAGGGTGCAGCGCCCACCCCAGTCCCTCCCGTACTCATAGCATGACCCCTCGCCTTACAGCCATTGCTGGCAGACTCCGGGGGGAGTCTGGCTCTGAGGGGCACGGCGGGTGTAGGGGAGACCCCATGCGAACTGGGAACTCTCTCCCAGGTGCACACTCCCACTGCCCATCTGCTGCGTCTCTGGGTTGCCCATTGGGGCCAGTGTTTCTACAGTAATACCTGGGCACTACCCTACTTCCCTTGTATGACATTTTGGGGGGCAATCCAGAGCAGCGAGGGGCTGTGTCACCTCTGCCCTTCAACCGTGGGTGCCACACAATGCTTTGCTGTTGTGGCTCCTCCTAACCTGGGCTCCTGCCAAACAGCACTCAGGGCACACCCTGGATGTCTGTGTGCAGCCACAGTCCTGGGCCAGCAATTCTGACCCCAGCAGCCTGTCAGCAAACACCAGCCACACTCTGGCTTCCAGCAGCCTTGATTACCACATGCAGAGTAACCCCAACACACTCCCAGTTCTGGATTTCCCTCCCCCCCCCCCCCAAAATGTACTGTCCTCTCCTGGACAGATCAGATAACAAAGGTCCGTTGTCCCAAAGGAACAATATACAATTTGCCACCTTAATGGGAATTACCCACACAGTTCACAACACTAGATTAATTTTGATTAAAGAACAAAAAATTGTATTTGACTACAAAGAGATAGGTTTTAAGTGAGTACAAGTATTAAAGCATTTCAGTAAAAAATGGTTATAAGAAAAAAAGATACTGTACTAAACTTTTAAAAACTAGGCTTGGTTCAAGGTAAAATTCTTACCATATGCTTCCAACAACATTACTGACCAATCTTCAGGTCAGGATCCTTCCCAAAGTCAAAGAGCTGGATTCTTTTGTCTTCTTAGGTTCAAGAGAGATGGATAAGGAGAGAGAACTTGGAGTGGTTTTGCCTCTTACTTATATAGTTTAATCACCCTTTAAAATGCATTTCCCTGAGAGTGACCCTTAGGTAAAGTTCTTTCCAGTGGAGGGCAAGGAGACATTGGGGGGTGGGGAGGAGGAGAGAGATTTCATGTTGTTCCTTCTCTCCCCTCTGTCTGAGGACTGTGTTTACAGCTCATATGCAAATTGAGGTAAACACATATCCCTTTGTTTAAGACCTGCTTGATTAGCTTTACCTAATGGCTACATGACTTTAAACATGGGTCTTTAACATTATACAGGGAGGAATTTCATAACTTTACACACAATGTTACCACATACATTCCACCGTGATATTATTGACCAGTGAGATATTAGTTTTCAAATACTTCATAAGGTGACCACACGAGTGCATTCCATTACACCTTGTCACAAACGTGTCTTTCCAAAATGTGTTATGGGTGTTCCCCCCTCAGGACTGGGACTGATGCACCATCCCCCTCCTGTATTGCCCCACTGCCTGCTTTCTTCAGTCCAGCGCTCATTGGCCATCCGCCATAGCACCTTCCTGACCCTTCACTTTCCAGTATTTCCTCCCCTCCTGGGAAAGCACCATCGCCCCAGAAGAGTTTTGTACAGCCTGAATGCAGAAAAGGCTGATACTCAATGTGGGGAGGGCACACTGTGCCCCATTTCACTGCCCTAGTCAGAAAGAATCATGTTCCTCCAAGACTCTAATGCTCTCTTCACATCAGTTCTCAGAGAAGAGTCCCACCCCACCCTCCTCCCCGAGGATCGCTGGCTTTGCTCATTCCCAGTAAGATTATCACATTCCTAATTGCCACTGGGGAATAGATTAGCAGTCAACGAGAGCAACAATTTTGCTAACTCAAAATGACCCATTCTAAAGGGGGACATTTTGTCTCTTGTGACCAACAAATTCATCACATTTGTGATCCAAGCAAACTGGGAAGCCTGGTCACCTCCAGAGAAGAGAGTCAAGTGTGTGCTGTCGCATTGCCACCTGGTCCTTCAGTGAGGCAGTGAAAATCGTCACAGGTTTGAAAACCTTTTTCCTGTTTGACCCCTTCCTATGGTGGTTGGAATATCTCTCTCCTCTCAGTGAGAGGTTCACCAATGTTCCTGTTGTGTATTTTGCATTTAATTCAACAACAGCCCCTGTGTTTGTAGGCTCTATTGATCATTAAATATGACAGAAGTGATGCAGTCTGAACTGTGCCCTACGCCAGTCCCCAATGGATGCAGCTGACCTACTGTTATCAGAACACAATGCAATCACAAGCGTTCGGCATTTCGACCATTGGTATAAAAAGGTGAATATTGTGCCAGTGAAAAATACAGGTTCCAGCAGTGCTAAAGATTGAAACCTCTATAGATCACCAGTGTAGGCAACAGCTGGCAAGCATGTCCCCATGCACCAGCCTCTCCACCTATGGGCCATTTCAAAGGTGTGACAGATTAGTTCATCTCCAAAGCCCAATTAATCCTTGGCCTCTGTGGTAAGATCCCCAAAAGGTAACCACTTTTGCTGGTTTTTCATGTGTGATCATGTCCCCAAGGATCTGAACTGAGATTCCCTCTTGCCCTCTTATCACTGAGATTAGACTGCACTAATGCATAATAGTATCTCTGCCATCTCTCTCTTTCTCCCAAGACCGGGCACTAGTTTTCCTCAACACTTTTTGATGAGGTATATTATCATTTCTGATAATCAGAGGGACTCACTCATGCATTCTCCCTCATAGTGCAGGTACTGGAATAGAGAGGATGTCTCGTCTGTCGCTTGGTGTCACCCTTGCTTCTTGGTGGGAAGAGCTATGCTTTGTGTACCTTAGTTTTCCACTCTAGTTAATGGCCAATGACAACGGTTGTTGATTGGCCGCCAGTGGTTATTGAGTGGTGTAGGGATAGGATATATTTCCTGCTACCATTCACTTCTGGCAGTCCCTTCCCCTTGTCCTTAATGAACACTGTTTTGTGGGAGGGAAGCAGCAATCAGAGGAGGCTGCAGATTGGGCCGGGGTCTTTCCTGAGGTCAGATTCAGCAAAATGGCTTGGAGGGCAGAATTTTCCCCTTCCTTTTTCCCCATCCTCTTCCATCCACCAGAGATCTGCATGACTCACACACAGAGAGTCCTGAGTTTGTTAAATAGGAACATCTCATTCTAGAGCTCAGACTGTTTCCAATGCAGGCCTCCTCCAAGGACTAATTGCAGTTACATTTATATCGGCACAGGAAATGTGGTGTCCTCACCATTCTGCAGACTGCAGGGTTGTAACTGTGGTAACTTTGGCCTTTGTGTCCAGATGGCCACTAGGGAGAGACACCCGAAAATGAGAGAGAAATAGGGAAAGCATTGAGCTGAAAACTGACCCAGGGCCTCCATTAGTGTATGGTCCATGAAGGGTGTATAACTTCTAGGTTTTCAGAGCAGCTTGTTTGCAGGAGGACATGATTTTGTGATCATTCTATTTTACGGTGTATTTTTTATGGGATTCAGCTTCCAAATAAATGGTTCCCCAGGGCAGTAAGATAGCAAAGAAGTGATACCATTCACATCTCAGAGTATGGTGTCTGCCGGGGGACAAACAAACAGAAAAGGTCATGGCCCACTCTGATCTCCACTGACCCCCACAGTGGGGCCAAAGGGAGAGACAACTCTCAGCCCCATTTATGTCCCCCTCCCAGCAGCTCGCCCACAAATTGCAAGGCTGGCCCTGAGCTGAGCTGTAGCCTCTGTCTCAGTACGTCTCTGCACTAAAGACATTGTGAGCTGCAAAATATATCCTGGTGCTGCATGACTCTGTAGGAATGAAACCATTATTGTAAAGTGCCTCTTATGCAAACACCTTCCTCCCAAAATAGCCTGAGAGGCAGAGAGAGGGAAACAAACAAAGCAGGAATTTGGAGTCGGATTCTTTCAACAAAGACTCATCTGCCCTTTCCTGTCGTCGTTGGGGGCCTCGGATTCAAAAGTGCTGGGTACCAGCCGCACCAATCAAGTCAAGCAAGAGTAGGGTTACCATACGTCCGGTTTTTCCCGGACATGTCCGGCTTTTTGGCAATCAAACCCCCGTCCGGGGGGAATTGCCAAAAAGCCGAACATGTCCGGGAAAATGCCGGCCGGGCACTTCCCCTCCCGCGGCGGCTCTGCTCCTCCCCTGACTCTTCAGCTCTGTTTAAGAGCCGAGCTGCCCGAGCGCTATGGGCTTCAGACAGCCCCCTTGCCTCCGGACCCCAGCCGCCGTCCGGGCACTTCCCCTCCCGGGCTCCCGCGGCGCAGGGTCCGGAGGCATGGGGGCTGCCTGAAGCCGGTAGCGCTCGGGCAACTCGGCTCTTAAACA